CTTCTGCTGCTTGCAATCTTCCATCTAAGTTATCACGATCACCAACCACAGACTCCAAGGCCTCGATCAGTGGATCTGGCTGTCATGGGAAAAGAGAACAAAGAGGATCACCATATAATGAAAAATTCAGAAACTGCCTAAAAAAACTGAGGAAATTTGAAAATTGAAAGAACTAGTATTACTGTTATCTCCTTCAATGATAAAAATACACGGTCAAGTGTGAAATCCAATTGGTGAACTTTTGCCTCAACAATCTGAAATCATGAAGATCATCTGAAAATTCAAGTCAAGGAACAGAAAGAGTAGGTAGATAGAAGTATGGCCTAAAAGCAAAGGGCTTCACGGAGTTCAGACACAAGACAAAGCATTAGATGAAATAACACACACAAATGTCATGAAGGTCAACAGCTTTTAATCTTGTTAGGTCTTACTTCTTTGTCATTCATTCTTACTGAAAAGAAAAAGAGATTCTATTTGTTATGTTTTAATCTGCAGTAAACTCAAATACCTGACCAATTTTGAAATAAGATGCAGGATCCAAGGTGGCATCCCACGATACTTCGGTCTGGTGAATCAGAGCAGGCACGCCTTCAACCTATATTAGTAAGATTAAATCACAATTTGAGTGGAGAAAATACATTAAAGGATCTATAGTCTTAAAGACATGGGTGTTGTGGCTTCATGCTAAGTAGTGTAAGTTCATAAGAAAAATAAAAACAAGGCAAGTAGCAAAAATCCACATGACACTGTTGCCAGACTATAATTGCTTCCAGTAGTTTCAATTTCTTAAAGGGCGTCTAACCTAGTAGTTGCTAAGATATTGCAACAAGGCTGAGAAACTTATTGCTGAAAGATTATTTACCTCCACAAATATACCAAAATAAGTGATTTTCTTGATGCAGCATTTAACAACATCACCTACACGAAGCTTGGCCTGCAAAAAGAAACGGCATAAGACCTTGAAAATTTTTTATTTTTGTCAAATTAAGCATAGGATGTTTTTCTTTTGAAAATGCTTGTTCAAATTCTCATTTATTCAAAAGACAAATTAAACATTAATTCTGAAATAGTTATTATTGCTGCGAAGTGCAACAACATTTCAAGTATACAAAAAGTGAGCACAACATTAAAGATGAGACTAAGGAAATATTGAACACAATGTAGCTACTCACCATAACATTTCTCTTTTTCTCTACCAACTCTTCCTTTTCTTTTGGCCTCAGAGACACTATAAGTTTTCTGAACTTTCTGTTGGCCATTAGCACATTTACTTTGACTCTCTGCAAGTATTAACCATATCAATATACAAAATGGAACTAGAGAAGATGATTTAAAAAGGAAAATCAATTTCTTCAAACCTGACCAACAAATGAGGACAAGAATTTAAGCTTCTCTTGATCATAAATCCTGAAAAGATCTTCCAAATTCATATCAGATGAAAATTTTCCCTCAAATTGTTGGTTATTTTCCATATCTGAGTTTGATACCAGAGAAGAGTTCTTGCTCATTATATCAGAACTTCCAATAACTCCTAAATTCTGCTTATAAGCAGCCGGGTCTAAGCCCTTCTGTCTCAACCATGACTCAAAAGCTAAGAACTTCCATTTAGCTGCCAAGTTGCGGTAAGGCAAAAATCCAATCAAAGAACCAAGAGATACCTGTAAAATTGATGCTTCAAAGTCAAAAGTCACAAATAAGAACATGATTGCAAATAAACATCATAAAAAGAAAAGGTTAACTTACAACAAAACCTCTCGTGCTGGAGCTTATTAACTCCACTTCTGCCCTTTCTCCTGTCTTAAGCAGATGTTCTACCCTCGTCCAATCACTATCCTACAATAGCATGAGATACCAAGAATGATCAGACATTCCTAAAGTGATGCTTTAAAAATGTCCAGTAACGACATAAGGGCAAAAAGGTCCAGTAAGCTGACCTCCTGAGGTGATACAGAAGGGAGATCACCAGAATCTTCAGGATTGATGGGAACAGTTTGTGCTCTACTGGAGTTTGATGTTTCTTTCACAGATTGATCTAATCTATAAGAAAGCAATTTGTTAATCGCAACTCTGTCAACTGAAGAAGAAATGTCTTAATTTCAAGAATGAATTTAACACCTTTTTGGCTTCCCTTGAAGTGCAGCTTCGATAGAGGGACCAGTGCTGGATTCCTCAGTAGATACCCTATGACTTAGCTCAACTGGCTGCATTCCTTGAAAAACCCAGAAAAACATAAATTTTAATACTCCAGAGTGAAGGGTTTCTAAATTTCTTATATAACATACAAGGTGGAAACTTGTAAGGTTTTTAAGCGAGAGGTGGGGGTTGTTAAAATTGGCCTTAGTTGTGATAAGCCCACCACAGCAACACTAGACAAAATCAAGCAAAAATTAAACTAAAAGGAACTTCATGATATAGCATGGTGTATTACCACTTATGGAGTCATCCTTTATCTTGGGTTTCTTAGGGATTGAGCTATGCCCCGAGTCTAATGATTCTTGAGAAGTATTCTCTGCTGCATTAGCCAGCATGTTAGCTTCGCTCTCCGCTTCCCATCTTTTCCCTTCAATTCCTAAATCTTCAAATAGCTCTTGCATTTCGCGAATGTTTGTATGGATACTCTGTTCAGACTTTCCTAATAATGTAAAATCACCAATCCTATCCTCCACTTCTTTCTCTTTCTGCCCAACACCATCTTCAGAGTCTTGTTTCTTATCATGGCTTGTATCAACACTCATCGGTTCTGGCTTTCTCAACAAAGTCATTTCACTAAAGTGGTCTTTCGCCTTTTTGTTCCTCATTTTCAGTGACAAATTTGGTTTTATCCTAAACCTGGGTAGGTCTTCTACATCATCTTCATTGACCAAAGTTGGCTTTCTCAAGATAACGTTTGGAACCCTTCCCTTTTTTGCACTATCCACAGTCTTCCCATCTGACAGAGTTGGTCTCTTTATCTCAGATATGGTTGGATTATCATCAGCTTTAAACTTGATTCCCTTCTTCGGAACAGGACGAACTAAATTTAAGCCATCAGAAGATGAGGTGGGCGATTTCTTTTCAACATCAAAAGGAACCTCCTCTACTTCAATTATTTTACCCTTATTCTTATAAAATGCTTTCTCAATTTCAATATAAGATGCTTCAGGGTTTGCTTTTCGACCCATTATCTGGAAAACCCAATGGAATAAGATTAAAAGACGTTGTAAAGAAGCAAATTCTTTTAACTATTAGAAAATGGGTGTTTAAAAAAACATAAAATTTCCCTAAATTGAGCATAAAAATATAAAGTTAGCAAAAGGGGACCTTTGCAAGGGTGAGTTTGGGGTCTTCACCAAGCAAGCGGCCAAACTTGAGCTCCATTTGGTCCCATTTGTCAAACTTTGGCTCTTCTTTCGCCGAAAAAACCCTGAAAGAAACCCTTTTAGCCCCTCTTTTCAGTCCTGCTCTTAATGCTGAGGCAGAAGGAAACAGCAAAAACTTGTTGACAGAGAAGGACGCAGCAGCGGCGGCGGTGGTAGCGGAGGCGCAAGCAAGACCGTCCATTCCTAATGCGAAAGTAAAAGCAAACTCATCAGACAGCGTTGAGTAGCACTGAGGAATTGTTGAATTTTGAACCTGAGATTGAAAATTGAGCTCTGGTGCTGGACTGCCGGTGGGCATAAAACGGCTACATGGGACTGGGGAGTGAAGAAGCAGAACGTTATCTATCCCTCTTGTAACGCCCACGTGGAACTTTAGTTTGACATCCGCTAATATTTCGCCACGTGGAATCAATTCTACTAGAGTTTTCTCT